AATCTAAATATAGCCAAACTAATCCGACACAAAATGTACATACAATCATTAATTTTAAAAATATAATACCAAATAAACAATAATTAAGGAAAAATTCATAACGAACAATCCTGCGCAACGCGCGGGTCTTCTCTCTAGTGTATAACAATTTTGATGATATTAAATTGTTCTCATTTGTAATCATCACAATCTCCTATTATCAAATATATGAATTTGAATCCTACAATGGCAAAGCTCAAGATAATATGTATGAATGAGAGGATAATTTGTTGCGTCACTTGGAACGTCCTTAATTTTTTTGAGGGAGTCATTGCATTTAGGAACTCTTTTTGGATGTTTTAATTAATGAGACAGGCAGTCTACTTATCATTTAGGAAGGACTCCTAGATATTTATGAAGGACTTGTTGATATTTAGGAAAGACACCTTGATATTTAGAAAGAACTTTTGGGATTTAGGAAGAACTTCTTGACATTTTGGAAAGATTTTTTGAAATTTGGAGAGACACAAAATCAAATCATTACTCATGAGATTTCTTATACATTTAAGGTAAAATATAAATAAATAGATTTAAAAATCCAAATTAGAAAGAAAGACATATTGTTAAGGAAATCCAAATTAGAAAGAAGGATACCAAATATTCAGGAAGGATTTCACGAACTTCAGGAAGGATTTCACGAACTTCATGAAGGATTCCACAAACTTCAGGAAGGTCTTCACAAAACGTCTGAACTTGACAATCATTCTGCATATACACAGGTAAAGAACCCCATGCCATCTTCTTCATCCTTACAGAAAGTCCACAACTAAGTTTGATAGCATTGACTAATCAATCCACTTTGAAATCTTCAGTCACCATCTTTGCTAAAACCTTATACGTAGTATTATCATCAACTTCATAAAGAGATCCTCCATTGTACCAATCGATTGCAAAATCTCAGGATCCATATCATTATATTTTCACTCCCCACAAGGTAAGTATAATTCAATTATATTAACGAGATTCAAACAACCAAAGCTTAAGATACATTACACACTAATCGAATGTGACATCACCTTACAAATTTGGATCTGCAACGTTTATTCCACCAAGCTTGTTCATTCTCCATCAACGTAGCATCTATTTCTAACTGAACATAGTCGATTCACTACACCCAATACTAATCAAAGAAAAGTCGATTAAGCATAATCAATTCAAAAATCTAAACTCAAATCAAAGCAAAACCTATTAAAAAGAACAATTCACTATTCGATTAGTTCTCAAATCCTCAGCAAAACAAACAACGATTCCAATCCACAACAACACAAAATCACGAGCTTGATGAATATTCTCAAATCCAGAATTCACCTAATCAAATCTAGAGCAACACCTAATCAAATCCACAACAACAAACTAATCAAATCCAAAGAAGCAACACCTAATCAAATCTAGAATCGAAGCTGAAATGATGATAACACCTAATCAAAGCTTAAATCTACAATAACAGTGAAGACAACGACAAACGCAATGAACACGGTGAAGAAACGAAACTAACGACGACGATGGAAGCTTGACGAGAATGGTGACACGACCTCGCCAGCAGATACAAATTGGAAGCTCACCGGCGGTTCAACGACGAGCTCATCACCGAAGACAGTGACAAGGGCTCGTGACTGGAGATTGTGTGATTCAATCACTCTCAAATCGTATGGTTGTTTGGTTTGTACACAAGGGTGTTTTAGTCTTTTAATCAAAAAAACTAATGATATTAATATCAAATTAAAGAGTGTATGATATTTGTGGAAGAAGAAGTTAAATGATGCTAGTCCAGGGAATTTCTCTATAATTATTTACTTTTTGTTTCTTATTAATTTTTTTTATAATAACAAATATTGCTTAAAATGTAAATTAAAAAATAGAATAAGTTTGCATGCTATCTATAGTTATATAATTGATTATTGATTCTAATAAAAATTTCTGACAATCAAAACAAACATAGCGGCTAGCACAGGTTAATACCCTATTGCACACTAATTAAAATATCATTTAATTTTTATTTACTTTAATTTTAAACAAAGACATCATTTAATATCTATCTAAACACATTTCAACCGACGAAAAACAATGTATATAAAAAATAATAATAATAAAGTAATTAATTTTGTATAGATTTGTAAGAAAAAAAATCATATATATAAAAGTAAGGTTTCACTCTCTCCTTATTGGTGGAAAAATATTTAAGGCTTTAATTTTTTTTTAAAATAAATAAATAAATGTTTATGACAATCATTCAATACAAATTTTAATTACACTATAACTTATAATCAAATGGCAAAGAAAATGAAAGGACTTAATCATATATCATTCAACAAAATAAATAAATAAATAAATGTTTATGACAATCATTCAATACAAAATTTAAGCACACTATAAGTTATAATCAAATGGCAAAGAAAATGAAAGGACTTAATCATATATCATTCAACAAAATAAATAAATAAATAAATGTTTATGACAATCATTCAATACAAAATTTAATTACACTATAAGTTATAATCAAATGGCAAAGAAAATGAAAGAATTTAATCATATATCATACAACAAATTTTATAAGGCTTATTGGTGGAAAATTATTTAAAATCATATATATAAAAGTAAGGTTTCACTCTCTTTATTTTTCCATTTTGTATTTATTTTTAAAGTATAATATTTATTTTTAATTAAACCAAAAAAACATATTTAATCATATACATTACGTTTCACACTTTAATACTAAAATGAAACTGAAAATTATATAAATTTTCAAAGACTATTGGTTTTCTTTATTGAATTCTAATTAAACACACTATAAATTATAATTATAACTCCTCTAATTTTTAATTATTTTAAAAATGTAACTTACATCCCTTCTTATCATATAAATAGCCATTCTCACATCCTTCTCTACCATATCTCATATCTTCATTATTCTCTTTGTTTTTTTTAAAGTTCTTGCATGGGGTGAAAACTCATTTAAAATATCATTTTAAGAGTTTGATTAATTATTTAGTTTAAGTTTTTTTTCCAATTTTATTTATTTTTTGTTTTTATGTATTTCTTTATTTCTTCATTGTTTTTTATATTTTTAAATGTAATACATATGTATAATAATATTTTATGGTTATAAGAAAATCAAGCTAAAGAAACCAACTTCATTATTTTACATTGGATGTTGTTTCTTTCTCACATATTCATGTATATTTATTTTAATTTCAAAAGTATGTAATTTTTTAACAAAATAAACTTTTTGTTATATAATTATCAAACCAATTTGTAAGACATTCTTTTAAGAATAATGATCCTTATATTTATATTTAGTTTGTGATTCAACATATAAACAACATTATAATTTTTGTTAACTTTGAATTTTATACTTGATTTCCTATATAAAAAACAATTTGATATTCAATTTTCTATCTATTATATATACTACAACGATGAAAAATATAATTAAACCTAGAGTTATAGCTTAAATTAAGAGGAATATAAAATCAAATTAAAAAATAAAATTATTCTTTGGGAGTTTTTTAAGGTTTCTCCTTATTGGTCCATTTAGCATTTATTTTTTAATTATAATATTTACTTTTAATTAAACTAAATATCTAACACATTTAGTCATATACTTTAATTCATACTTGAAATCCATGCTTTACTATTAAATTGTAACATAAACTATATAACCTTTCAATTGACTATTTGTTTCCTCCATTTCATTTCAATTAACACACTATAAAATATAATTATAACTCCTATAATTTAATTATTTTAGAATTATAACTTACATCATATTTATCCTATAAATACTCATTTTTACATCCTCCTCCACCATATATGATATTCTCAATATTTTCTTTGTTTAATTTTTAATGTTCTTGCATGGGTTGAAAGCTCAATTAAGATATCATTGTAAGAGCTTGATTATATATTTGGTTAAAACTTTTTTTTCAATTATATTTCTTCTTTATTTTATGTACTTCTTCATTTTTTCATTGTTTTTTATACTATTAAATATATAATACATATGTATAATAATATTTTATGGATATAAGGAAATTACTTTATCGAATGGGATTCAAAAATTTTGATCTCTGACCATCGTACCATAAGAAAATCAAGCTAAATAAACCATCTTCATTGCTTTACTTTATATGTTTTTTTCTTTCTCACAAATTCATGTATATTTATTTTATTTTCAAAGTATGTAATTATTTTAACAAAATAATTTTTGGTTATATTCAAACCAATTTGTAAGACATTGAAATAAATAAAATTTTATACACAAATAAAGGTAATTTGTGTGTATATTTATAAGTTTACACACATATATGGATAAATTTTAACATTTTTTGTGGTTGTTTTGATAAAGTTTGAAAAGAGGGTAAATTTAAAAAGTGGTATTTTTAAAAGTGTATTTTTTAAATTCTCCCAATATCATTCCTATTTTTATCATTAACAATATTATTGTTTTATCAAAAAATACTTAAAAGCACTAAAGAAAATTACTATCAAAATTGAACAATTAATCAATGAATAAATTCAAAAGATATGGATGTATGCTTCTATTGTATGATTTAAATAAATAAAATGTAAAAATGTCATAAACATTAAAATTTATTTTATCTATTTTTATAAGTAATAAATAAATTAAACTAATTAAATAAATATACGACAACCCGCGCATATGCGCGGGATATTACCTAGTAAGACTAAAAGATAATCTTTTAAGGAACAAAGGGTATCAATTTCATATATATAATGGGAAATTGTTGCCAAAAAAAAAGAAGTATACATAATGGAAAATTAATGTAATGGTTTAATTATTTTGACAATAAATATATAAATAATAAATGTATCATAATAAATTGAACTTCCCATATAAGAAACTGAGTTTTTACAATTAATTATAAATTTTCTTTTTCTGTTTGGTATCTTTGGTTATGTATAGGGTTGTGGAGCATCATAACGATTCCCCACCAGAGACCATGGAACAAGTTTCACAATCGTCTCCCTCACGTAACCTAGATGGCGTCAGAATCTCCACAAACTTTATCCCTTTTGATCTCACCTTAGCGATACTCTCTAGACTTCCCGCAAAAGCTCTCATCCGATTCCAAGCTGTGTCGAAGCTATGGTTCTCAACCATCCGCAGTAAAGATTTCGTAAACTCGTTTCTGATTAGGTCAAAGACTCAACCTCGTTTCCTTTTAACCTTCAAACACTTCGACTCTCGCAAACGTTTCATCTTCTCAGCTCCTGAACACAAGAGAACCGACAAATCATCCACAGTTGTCGCCAGACACGACATGACGATCTCTGGTCTTGTCTACTACATCAAATCTCGTCCCGTGAACGGTTTCTTGTGCTGCACGTATGGCTCTTCTATCGCGGTTTGTAATCCAACCACTGGACAGATTGTGAAATTGCCTGATGTTGAATCCAAGGGAAGACAAGTTTATGCACGTCTAGGGTACGATCCTGTAGGAGATGAATACAAAGTGTTGTGTGTAATGATGCATGACAACGCTAAACGTAGGAAAAAAAGTTTCCAACAGGAGCATTACGTTTTCACATTGCAGTCTCAACAAAAAGAGTGGAGAAAGATTGAGATTACACAAGGTGTTCGATATTTCGAGGTCTCTGGAGGGTTATGCATTGATGGTGTGGTATACTATGGAGATGAACGCTCAGAAACAATAGTTAGATTCGATGTTAGGTCTGAGAAGTTAGACCTAATCCAAGTACCTGAAGATACTGATATAGTAGACGAGTCATCTCTTGTAAACTACAATGGGAAACTAGGCAGTGTTGAGTTGGATGATGATGATATGATGGTGTTGTGGGTTTTAGAAGATGTTAAGAAACAAGAATTGTCTTTGGGAATGGAGTGTGATTTACCTAGTGAGTGGAATGGTTTAGTTAAGGGTTATGTTAGTCTTAAGGGTGAGACTCATAGTGATGAGGTTATCATGGTTAGTTCAAGGTTGATATCATCTGAGCCGTTTAGTGTTTTGTATTATGATTTTTATAGAGAGAGCATACGAAGAGTGGTGGTCGAAGGACTCGTGGATGATGAGTTTAGACGTGTGCATGGGATTGGTAAGCGAACTCGTGAGGTTTTGTGTTTTCCTGGTTATGTTGAGAATATTATGTACTTGTGACTATGACTATGAATGACTATATCGTTCCATACAATTCATCTATGAGTTTATCATTAGTAGTGACTAACATAAAGAGTTGGGACTTTATCATTACGATCGATTCACAAAAATGGCAATGGTAGAGAAAGTTATTTAGGAACTCATATGATTAGACATAATCAACGATCTTACTAGAGGATAACATGTCTTAAGAAAAGAACTTGTGGAAAAGTTTAGTATAAACACATCAGCCAAGTGTTATGTGTCAGTTAGAGAATGTAATAGTTATTTTCACTAAGATATATCATCATAGATTCATAATAAGTAACACATCTGGAACTGAACCAACCATAGGGCACCAAGTTTATGCCTACCACCCAAAATCAAGAGCTGCTACATAGTCTTGATCATCATGGTGCAATTTAAATCGAAAAATTAATACAGTTTGTTTACAATTTTTGCAACATCTATATCCGAATTAATCTTCAATATTTGACGAGTAAAAGAAAAGAAAGAACAAAGGATGTTAGCCCTCTTGGTTTCCGGCAAATGTTGCCGCAGGTTGTTGTTCGTTTTGTTGCCGCTGCTGCTACCTCAATATTTATGTTCGTTTCGTTGACGTAATTGCTGTTACCGCTGATTTTATGTTCGTTTTACAGACGCTGCGGCAATTTGCCATTCAATTTTTGCAAATTTGTATAATTTTATTTTTAATCAAATAATTATAACTTAAATGTATTTTGAATCAAAAAAAATGTGATTTAAATATATTTACATTCATAAGAAGCATTTATTTAGCTAGTAATAATTAAAATATATTTTGATCAACATAATGTAACTTAAATATATTTGCATCCATTAAAAAAAATATTCACCTAGTAATGGTTTAAATTTAATTTAAATTAAAAATAATAATAATAAACCAAAATAAAAGAGATAGACGAAGTCATTAACTAAAAATAATAACCCAAATCATAAACATAAAAGATAGAAGAAGTCACTAACTTAAATAATAAACGAAGTCATAAACAAAAATAGTAAAAATCTCTAATAAGGTAAATGTCCTTTACCATATTCGTTAGTAATGTCGGTACACAAATTTTCCATCGCTCGATCACCGGTCGGCTCATATGCAATATGTCCTTCTTCTTCTTCTTCCTCTTCCTCTTCTCCGTCTTCTTCCTCTCCTTCTCCTTCTCCATCTACTTCTCCATCAAAGAAAAACCCATCAAAACAACACAAATCAACTAATCTCAATCTATGTTGAAACAGAGATTGAGAAAATTATAGAAGAGGATCCATAATAGCTTACCAAAATAACAAAGATGAGAGCAGAGGAGCAGAGAAATCGAATCTGGAGCTCTTCTTCTATTCTTCGACGTTCGTTCTTCTTCTTCTCTTAGAATTATGTCCAAATTAGGTTAGGTTGATTTGTAAAACATTGAACAAAGCAACGGTGTTTTTGTCAATTCCCAAATTGAACGCAACATGTTGATCACCACCGCTGAATAAAACTGGCATTTCAAAATTTTCGTCGCAGAACGCTGCTTTATGACGCAGCTCCTGGCGGTGACCAAACGAACATCGTTACCCGCGTCCGCCGCAGCCGCAACTAGCTGCGGCAGTGAAACGAACAGCCTCGTTGTTTAATGTATCTATAAGCATGCCCTTTCTTAGTTTCTTGGTGCTAGCTTCATGAACAAAAAGTTATGGCCTCATTCTCATAAAGAGTTTAGTTAGCTAAGAGTTTTTGTGACCAGATTTAAATATAATTAATGCCATGTGAGGAAATAGTGACCATTGTTCATCTTTTTGGGTGTGGAAACAAACCTATATGGGTTAACCTAGTATGTAGAAATAATAATCACGAATGCTCACAAGTTACATTACAATACTCATAGTTACAAAGATAATAGTAATATTTCTTATATAACATGTAAATTTCATGTGGCACATTTTGGGAACGTGTTGCAACACTATACGGGTCAAGTTGAGTAAAATATAAAAGTAAAACTTCAAAAATTCAAAACAATTCTTTGACTATGTAATATCTGATTAAAAAACACATCACTCGTGAAAAGCATGGTATTATTATACTAATTAAATGAAGAAAAATTCTCCTATGGATGTGCATCATCTCTTACCTTGTTGTATCGTTTCCACAATATCTCTAGACTAAATCTTACACATAGTGGTAACTTTGCATATTGTTTAGTTTGGTAAGTCCAAAGATGAACCGTAGTTGTATCACAATCCTATCTCTGTTGGTAATTTCTCAACTAGCTTCATCAAAAGTTTTGTTGATAGGGAGAAACACAATTCTCTCATTCGATGATGTCGAAGCAACGTTCAGTAAGTTTCCTAAGTTCAAAATCTTTTATAACTTCTATTTGTATACCTCTATTGAAATGTTTTGAAATGTTTTTTCAGCTCCTATTGTTGGAAGTTCGGGTGAATGCGGATTCTTGTACGCCGCAGAGCCTATTGACGCGTGCTCGGATTTGAAGAACACGGCCGAGAAAGGATCTAACTATAGGCGTTCTTATGTATTGATCGAACGCGGTGGCTGTAGTTTTGAGGTAAAAGTTAGGAAGGCCCAAGAAGCTGGTTACAAAGCTGCTATTGTCTATAATGATGCATATGATGAGGTCTTAGTACATAGTAAGCACATTTTATATATTCACTATGTTCATTTTTTAAAATTTAATTTATTCGGAAAAAAACTTTTGTACAACTAGTGCAGTGTTTTCTTGAATGGATTACTTTAAATCGAGAATCAAACTAAATAAACATCTTTAGTTTGATGTTTGGTTTTTATATAGTGGTAGGAAACTCGTCTGGTGTTGATATACATGGTGTACTTGTTACAAGAGCGTCAGGAGAAGTGCTTAAAGGGTATGCAGGTCGAACCGAGATGGAGCTTTGGCTCATCCCGGGATTAGGGACTTCATCGTGGTCAATCTTGGCTATTACTTTTGTATCTTTGTTCATCGTGACTGTTGTTCTCGCCACTTATTTCTACGTCCGTAGGCGTCGAAGTGTGATTATTTTATCTCGTGGTGGCCGAGGATTTTCTTGCGTACCTTGTAATTTGGTACAACGGATACCGACTGAAGTGTTTTCGGGTGTTTTTGAAGTTGGTTCGACTTCAATTACTTGTGCTATATGCATTGATGATTATTGTATCGGCGACAAGCTCAGGATCTTACCTTGCCAACACAGTAAGTCTATTTTGTTCTCTTCAAAAGAGGGTTGAATGATCTGCTTCTGCACATAATTAAATGGTTTGTTGTCTTCTTTTCTTGTTTTTTGACTTAGAATTCCATGCTGTTTGTATCGATTCTTGGCTCGGTCGTTGGAGATATTTTTGTCCGGTTTGTAAACATGATGTAAGAGCAGCAAAGAGTGATCCACCCGCATCAGAACAGACACCTCTGCTTTCGACTAGCCTAAACACTTCATTGCAATCGTTACCTATAACCATCAGTCAAGACCCTCTCTCCCGTTCACCACAGCCACACACAGTTCCTATGTGCCACGCGCAAGATCTCATGAACGCCTTTTACAAAAGATTTACAAACAGAACAAGCCCAGTCAATGCACCACCAAGCTAGGTTTGGACATCAAGTATGCTTAAGCATTTGCCTCAGAGATAGACAGGTCTTTCTCCTTTTTTTCCTTTGCTAACTCTCTTCCAGGCTGCTTAACTAAACCATAGAAGCCAAGATACTCCACAAGGCTTAATAGTCTCCCACCAAGGTTTCCTCAAAGTTGCAATGTGACACCACATTTCAACCAGGTGATATATACAGTGAAACCTGTTTTGTCTTATCATTTTCCTGAGTTTTAGTGAAGAATATTGAACATGAGATGAGTGAATTTGGAAAGTAAGCATCTTTGTAAATCAGCTAACCACTGAGTGAACTTTTTCTACCTGTGTGTAGTTATGTAGATACTGCTTGATTGGTATAATGCATATGGGAATTAGAGAGCCAAAATGATTCATGAACTAAAAAGAAATAAGTGTGAAACATAACTCAGAAAGCAAAACAAAAAGACTAGTCCTCTTTTTTGTCACTAGCCATATGCTCACTGGTTTCACCTTCAGGGACACTAGTGGTCTGATCAACTCTTTCTGCTGTGGTGGTCCTGACCCTATCAGGCTCGTCCACTTGACCAAGGCTCCGTAGCATCATAATGATGGCAACAAAGAACACAATGACGTACACTGACCTAATACCGATCATTGAGTTGATAAATCCCATCAACGAAGGTCCTTTGATTTTCTTCCTCTCTGTTCTTCCTTCTCTATATCCCTCAAGAAACCGAGACACTTGAGTTAAATGATCTTCCTCTTGGCTAATGGTCTCTATGCCGGTCACCTGCATATCATATGTTACTACAGAGCGTTTGATGCGAGTAAAACAGTCCAACCAACTTGTCATTCTACTGCTAAAACCAAATTTGTTACCTGATCATACTCCTCATCCCCGTCCCATACAACAATCTTAGGCAGATTTGTCTTCTTGTCTGCATGAAACGAGTCTGCAAACTCTTCAAACTGCTCCACACCGACATATCCAAAAACAAGGTCACGGTTCGCATGTGCAGCTGCTCTCAGTGCTTTGGTCAGTTTCCCTAAGCTTTCATGAGTTTCATCTTCCACAATTGTCAAGACAATCTTTCTCTCATCGTCCTTGAGCATCTTCAAAGTGTCCTGGTTAATTGGTAGAATCAAAGGAAGGAAACTTTGTTTCACAAACTCCTCCAAGAATCCATCTGCAAACCAAAATTATACAGTGAAGCCTGTCAAGTTTACTAGGAAACATGAGGTCACTGAACACATAAGTATATGATATAATAAAGACTAACCTTCAAAAGGACCATAGAAGACGCTATGTTCATTATACGTTGGATGTTTGGCAACTAACGCAGGAGCCTTATCGAAATCATAAGAAACCATTACATCTTCTGAAGCATCTTTTGCAACAGCAAACCATGCCTTCTTCTTATACTTACCACCTAATCCTGATATCAACGATTCATTCAAACCAAAACCGATAAATACAGGGAAGAAAGTCCCAGCATCTTCAACAAATTCCTTGACAGCTGAGTCTGACTCAAGAACTGCAACATCTGGAGCAACAAACTTTTTCAAGTACCGGACGAGCAAATCTGCTTTCCTTGGTCCATAGTACTCCATTGGAACTCCATGGTTATAGAGCATGAGAGTCGGGAATGCACTGCACAAAAAGAAAGGCAGATCAGCCAAGTAAGCGCTAAAGAACACTTAAAACATCAAAATTGAAACTTTTCGACTCCTGATCAAAGCAATAGATCAGTAACCAATAACTCTAAAAAATCAAAACTTTGTAGACTCCTAATTAAAGCAATACATCAGCAAAACTAAACTGAAAAATTGAAACTTTTTAACCTCCCGAACCAAAGCAATTTGCTAAAGAGATTGTAGAACTCTAAGACAGACTCAAATCTCAAAAAACAAGACTCATATGAAGTATAATACACATGCTCATCTCAAGCTTCTGTGCGAGACGAGAATAGATCAGTAACAAGAACTCTAAAAACTGAAACTTCGTATACTCTTGACTAAAGCAATAAATCAGTAACAAGAACTCTAAAAATTGAAACTTTGTATACTCCTGACTAAAGCAATAGATCAGTAACAAGAACTCTAAAAACTGAAACTTTCCAGACTCCTAACTAAAGCAAAAATAAACTGAAAAATCGAAACTTTGTAGAGACTCCTGACTAAAGCAATAGATCAATAACAAGAACTCTAAAAATTGAAACTTTGTAGACTCCTGACTGAAGCAGTAGATCAGTAACAAGAACTCTAAAAATCGAAACTTTGTACTCTCCTACCTAAAGCAGTACATCAGCGAAAACAAACCGAAAAATCGAAACTTTTCAGACTCCCAGATCAAGCAATTAACTAAAGAGATTGCAGAACTCTAGGACAGACTCAAAACTCAAAAAAGAAGACTCATATGAAGTAATACACATACTCAATCTCATGCTTCCGTGCGAGACGAGAATACTTATCAGCATTCAACTTAGCAATGACGATAGGCTTCTTCAACTTCGCAAGAATTGGAGCAGCTGCATCTAACTACAAAACAGATAAACAATAAAACAGAACATAAGTTACCAAAACTAAAAGCATCAATACAGAACAGAACCAACTACAAAATCGATCTTACAAAACTAAAATTTCAGATAACAAACATACAAAAACCAGATCGTACCTCAGGGTTAAGACGTTTGCAGTGACCACACCAAGGAGCATAGAAATCAACAAAGATACAATCGAAAGATGAAATCGCCGAGTCAAAATTTGAATCGGTGAGTTCTAGTACTGTTCCGTCGATGGTGAATTCATCATCCGAAGAAGCAGAGAGTGAGATTGATAGAGTTAGGAACGAGATCCAACAAAGCAACAACTTTAACGAACGCATCTCGATCTCGATTTCGATTTCAGACCAAACTTAAAAAAGCTTCTGATGATGATGATACTACAACAACAGAACTAAACTAGTTTCTGAGGAGAAGTCTTATGTTTTGTTTTAGAAGAATCTGATTAAATTCCAGTTTCGATTTATTTTCTTTGGAATTATAAAAAAGATTTAATAAAACATAAACCTTTTGTTAATTGTTACTATCCAACAACTTAGGTTTTTTCACTTGAAAAAATTGTTAATAAAAAATCTAATATAATCTAATAATAAACAATTTAAAAAAAAATTCTCGTTAATATCACAAAGTGAAAATTTTCCCACAAATAATATTATTCGTTTAATTTTTAAAAGTATTGTTAAATTATTTTTTTTCCAAAAATATACGAAACTAAACTAAATTTTAACATTACCCAAACCCAAAAAAATAAATCTACTTATTTGAAATAAATTTTAAAGAAGTTTTTATAAGTTTGTTGTACTGTTGAAAAATTAGACATTTTGATGATATTTTTGGAAAACAAAATTATTGTGGTATTTTTTGGAAAAAGAACTAAGATTTTGGTATTTTTTTTTTGTCTTTTTAGTAGTATTTTCAACTAGGATCAAAGCAATGTTCTCGATTTAGTTAGATTCAGAAAATCTAAATAATTAAACCTCAAAAGATCAAGGTTTTTTACTTTTTAGATTAACAAGGTTGGAAATGGAATGCCTACTAAAAATCCACATATAAATCATATGTTATAATAATACTGAAAAATTTAAATACATCATTGACATGAAAACTGGATTAGGCGGTTTCACTTCAGCGTTAAACAAATATCTAGTAGTCGTCTTATCATGATTATGCTAGTGACTAAGGTCTTGAATGGAAAGCAATGAAAAGCAGATAAAAAGCAGTTTTCTGCCAAGCAGATCTACTGTCCTGTATATTTACCATTCAACATAAAATATATAAAGTGCAGTTCAGAAAAAGAAATATTATTAAAAAATAATTGTCCTTCTAACATATCAAAATTTAAAAGAAAAATTGTACTGCACTATGAACAGTAAAAACGCTGGAGATTTGGAGTGTTTGATCTGATAGTTTGCTTGATCTGCTTTTGTTCTGCTTGATATTTTTGAACCGCTTAATATGCTCTGCCCGAAATGCTCTCTCCATTCGAAGCCTAACTTTAAAAACCATATTTTATACAAAACGGCGTTAAGGGCTTAACGAATCAAAAGAAACAACAACATTGTAAGTTTTCACATGACTATGCATCCTACCAATTTTAAATCTCCCATGACAAAGTTCTTTGGCGGTGGTGGCGTAGGCGGAAAACTCTTAGGCACCGGTTCATTCTGGTGGAACTCGTACGGTGGCGGTGCTGGTGGTTGCAGATGGAACTGACGTGTATATGGTGGTGGAAGAGCAAAAGTAGCATTATTGTATGGTTGATGCATCCAATAATCAGGTGGAGGATAATTTGAGTAACCATTAGGAACATTTATATATCCTGACGCATAACATTGTTCCATCGAATGATCTTTTCGATTTTTCGGTTGCTTATTCCGTCCATCATTGCTCCATACTATGACAACATTGTTGCCTGCTTTTGTAATCTTTTCAAGTATTACTTGTGGATCAACTTTTCCAGTTACATATACCGTTTTGCTTCGCTTGTCAATCATAAAACTCACATCTGTTAAAAACAAAACAAAGAAAATTTTACATTTTATAAGAGAAATAAACGTTAATTAAACAAGAAAAGTGAAAGATTATGAAATTAACCATTAATGGTTTTGAGTAATTTTTCCAATGATTTTTTCCATCCACGAAGAGGTGATTCTATCTTCAAGAGACATGTCTGCGTTTAAACACTTAAGATCTTACACACACTTTCAAATAAGTTCATAATGTATATATATACACTAATCTTACTATTTATATGAGTGTAACACATACCATGTGATTAGAAGATGACTCCATCGATCTAGATACATAATGTATTGCTACTTATTATTGTTCTTGAGATTGATGTCAGCTCGCGATTCGATTCTGATTACACAAGTTAAAAACAATTCAAGGTTAAAAGAGTTTCAAGCTCACTTCCGAAGAGAGAAAAAAAACTGAAGAAGGAAGAACTAAGCACCAACCTAAACCGTACCATCATAAAATTATGATTATAAGTTATGCAAATCTATAAACAAAGTCTCGAAAACTCACCAAAACGTCTCAAGATGACAATAGAATTGGCTTCTAAATAGTTGGGGCTTTAAAATGCATATATATAAGTGTTATTAGGGTAGAAAGATGAAGATTCTAATTGCCAAAAACGATTCCTCCGTTTTTGGAAATGATGAACACGAGTAAAACCCCATTTTTCTTGAGTTTTTATTATAGTCCCTGGATGTTTATATATTTTCAGATTACGCTTACAAAGTTTTAAATTAGTTAAAAGTCCCTGAAATAAGACAGCTTTCAAAATTTTCAAATTGTTCAATTTAATCCAAAATTCACTTTTAAATTTCTCTGCAATCTAAAAAAAAGGATTTCACTAGAAGATTTATTTACTAAAAAACTAAAAGTCAACACTCCCTATTCATTATATAGAGGCATCAATTTGTTGAACAAAACATCAAATTTTTTTTTCAAACTTTTACATGTTGTTCTTAAAATGATCTTTTATACTAATTTAGTTCATATTGTTTTCGATTTCATATACATTTAATTTTGTACTGTTTATAATATAAATATTATTCATTTTGCTTCCATGATTTTCTAAGAGTACACTGTTAGTTTACAAAACGCACAATCATATAGTATAGTTGGTTAAGATTGATATTTTAAAAATTCAATATTATACGTGTTGGTCCGTCAAAACACATATTGTAAGTGTGTAATTTTTATGAACTTTTACAATATTTTCGCGTATATTCATATTTCTACTGAAAACAATGATCAAATTAAACTAAATGTCGATAAATATTTCTCCATGTAAAGTTAAACCATTTCAAAAAAAAAAAAAAAAAAAAAACTTAACTTGAATGTACACAAACCGCTTATTAATTGAAGTTAAAGTTGGTCGCCGACCAAAACAAAGTTTGATCATATGTTTTACATATATTTGGAGCTTGCTTATTAATTTATTGAACTTGTTGTAGTGTTTCGAACAAAATATATAGTTAGAGATTAACGAACAAAGATTAAATTAGAAAATGTAACACATTGTGTAACTAAGCCTCTACTACTACTCATAAATATTCATAAGTTTTTTCACATGACTATGCATCCGAAAGGTTGTAAATCTCCCATGGTAAAGTTCTTTGGCGGTGGTGGCGTAGGCGGAAAACTCTTAGGCACCGGTTCACTCTGGTGAAACTCGTACGGTGGCGGTGCTGGTGGTTGCGGATGGAACTGCTGCACATATGGTGGTGGAGGAGCAAAATTGTGAATGTATGGTTGAGGTTGATTCATCCAATAACCAGGCGGAGGATAATTTGAGTAACCAAGAGAAGGATTCATGTATCCGCGGGGCGCATAACATTGTTCCATATAACGGTCTTTTCGATTTTCCGGCTGCTTGTCCGGTTCGCATTTGCTCCATACTATAACAGCATTATTGCCTGCTTTTGTAATCTTTTCAACTACTATTTGTGGGTTGAATTTCCCGGATATATATACCGTTTTGCTTCGCTTGTCGATCATGAAACTCACATCTATAAATCAAAACAAAAAGAGTAGAATTATGAAGATATATTATTGCATTTTACATTAAACACTTTGTGGAAGTATGTAATATATAAAAGTGTCCAATATTAACAAACTGGTTACAATAACGATTGGTTCAATATAGCAACAAAGTGAATGATAGAATTAAAGATAATTAGATGAGAAAAGTGATAAAAGAAGATTATGAAACCCTTAATGGTCTTGAGTAAATTTTCCAAAGATTTTTTCCATCCAGGCATAGGAGATTCTATCTTCAAGAGACATGTCTGCGTTTAAACACATAATTAAGATTCATACAAACTTATAAATCATACAATATATGCACTAATTAACTTTATAATCTATAATGAGTGAAGGCATACCATGTGATTGGAAGATGATTCCATCGATCTAGATCAAAATCGTTTTGTTATTGTTCTTGTTTCTTGAGGAACCTTAAGAAAAAAAATTGTTCTTGTTCTATCGATCTAGATCACAAAGATTGGGGAAGAAATGTTTAGAAAATTTTCTATATCAAATTAATATATAAAGAACTATGAAATTTTATTTTCCTTTGTAAAGATTTCTGAGATTCTTTTGGTTTCCTTATATATAGAATATCTTATCATACATACTATATATCTTATATATGGCATATCGAATACACGATATCGACCATATTGTGTTTATACTATATTCCATATCTATATCAAAGTTTAAAGGAAACACATATGTAAAGATATAACTTGATTCCGAAACAGAAAATTACTTAGACAAGTGAAGCTTCGAGTCCACGTTATGTTTTCAAGTGTTGTAATAAGTTTTGTGTTTGATTATAAAATAGAAACGAGTGTGACTTTTTTTTGGAACACAAAAAATGTGATGTCCGATCCTTTAATCTCATCTTCACTCACTTGGTGTTCTCCTCATCCTTCATTACTAGCATTTCCTTGGCACAAAGCTTTGTGGTTTAGTCAAGGGATTCTAAAACATGTCTTCTTGCTTTGAGTTCATTTAGTTGTTTAGTGTTGATTTTCTCTAGAGATTTGGTCAGCCTCCTTCACTCACTCATCTCTCAATATCCACACATGACTTTTGTATATAGTCATTTGGGTTGAACGAGTATCACACAACAAAAAGCATTTGCAAGCTAGTTACTTCTCCAAACTATTGTTAATGAGCTGTGGAAAGAGCGGAGATTTCGCATTCACCAACAGGGATGGCTCGGAGGCTGGAAGCTAAAGCCCAACAAGCAAAAGTTTTAGGCATCACAAATTTATTATCTTATTAAGGCATCAAAATTTGGGAAACTCTATACGGTGCAGCTGTATATGTAATATGTTTTTACTTACATATATGTTTTTACTTTAGACAGCCCAAAACTTTGAACCAGCCATGGTCACCAAGGTTCACCTAGAGCAGCCATGATTCTAACTTGGCAGATCCGTCAAACAACTATATTCTCGACCACATAATTGAAAGAATCATATTTATATACTTGATTTTACTTCATTTATGTTACAACTCCACCACCTTGAAGCTTGATTATTACACTCTTCATTCAGTTATATTAGTTCTTATGTTTAGATATACATAAGAATGCTCTAGATCAATTTAGTATAACTTGCCTACATACACAAAAAAAGAGAGTTAACTTAACCCTAGAGTTGTATAAAATCCACATAAACCCTACTCAAAGGTGTTCTTGAATTTCTTGCTTCTTCCAACCCCAAAAAAAAAATAAAATAGTGATAATAGTTCTTATTGTTCTAGACTTTGGCCCTAGCCTCATAGGCCCATTTGAGTTGAAAGACATAGATGCTATTTCCATTATTCCATTTGTTGACAATTAAAAAAAAAAATATGTGTTTTCTATTATACTCAAATGTGTTTTCTAATTCGACAGTGAAGATTCACTTTTCGTGAAGTTTTCTCTAATGATAGTGTATTGTTTTTTTTTCTCATCATTTGTCGAATAAGCCAAATCTTTTTGTATAATATTAAAAAACGAATTGTTACGTTTCGTATGCATGAATAAACAAAGACGCAAACGCCAAAGACATTATCATAAAACCATAATATTTGTTCTTAGGAAAACAATGAAGATAAGTCGACACGCATTAGTTTACATTTTATATTTGACAAAATATTATAAACAAGTTTTGGGGTCATTTTCTCATAAAAATGGCTACTCAAGAAGACTAAACTTTAACTTATAAGATGATTAGATTAATAGTTTATGTATGGACTTGGTGGATTAGGTACACGTGATTGTGTAATTATAAAATTGATTTGCACGATTCACGCCACTTTTATTATACTCTTATATTTTTTTGTCAACCAATATACATATTTACATTTAAAGTTATATAAAATATAACGGCAAGTTTCATGACTAATATTGTTTTTTCTATATGTATCATTAACGGATTTTATTATCTTTATACATGTTTTATTTTTGTGAAAAACATACATTATTAATTAACTATCTTTAGTTTAGTTAGGGTGGGAAAAAATTGATTAATTATCATGTCTTATAATGGACAGGTCGATTGTTAACATGTACCAACTTGTTTCTAATATTTGAATATTATAATAAAAGTTTTCTGTATAAACCCTTTGAAAGTTTGAATCACTGTTTTTGCAATTCTATCTTTTAAATCTTAAAATAAGCATTATTGTAAAATCAAATGACAGTATTATATATAATATACACAATAATATATACATAATATGTTTTTTGTTACTATCAGATTATAAACTCCTTACCTTTTAATTTACCGATAATCTTTTTTAAAAATGAATGTAACCATAAACACGTTTAGAAAATATATATATTACGCATTTTTACTTAAGTCTTGTTTTTTTCATGAATTCTGTTTTAACAATCAATAGCACAAAAATACACCTAACTTGATATCCAAGCATGTAAGATTTAACAACAACAACCTCATTAAACATTTACATCGAATCATTTTTATTAGTTTAACTCACATATTTAATCCGATCTTAAGTGACACCAATAACAATGCAAGAAGTAGTCGCAAAGACATATGCTCTATTCCTCATTATTTCTATCGTTTACCTTTAACGTCCAAAAGTAGTTGTAACGACATAGGCTCTATTCCTCGTTATTTATTTATTTTTCCTTTACCGTCCAACTTTTAGTTGTATAAATTTGTTATAGTGACTTTTTATCTAACATAATCTTAATATAACTAATTTGTACTTTTTAGTAATAAAGGATAAAATTGTGACGAGTTGGAGAATTTATTTGCACAAAATCTGTATAAATAACCATATTGGACATAAAATGATTAAATTTTACAAATATGATATATCATCAAATATACGTAAGATCGACTGTATTAAAAGCAAACTGCATGATAATTAGTTGGCTTGTTCCATTAAAAAGTCCACATGGGCTGATAAAAATATTAAGAGATAACGACCAATGGCAAACGTGATATGATAGTGGGTACTACGGCTTCATTCTAAGAAAAAAAAATACTATTAATTTCATTGGATATATAATATATGTATACAGTATGTTGATATAAAATTACAAAAACTATAATGTGACAAAAAGAAGAAAAACAAAATAATACATCTACTTATTAGTCGTAGGGCAACGACCCGACATACTTGGTTCCTATCACAAGAAACACGTTTTGGCCAAGTTGTTAAATTTTCCCATCTTGTAAAAGAAAAAACCAACTTACCTATAGTGAAAGTAGAAAAAAGTTTGACTAAAACCAAAAGGGAAAAGTAAATATAGTGATTGCTTCCACCACCGTTTAGTTGGTAAAACAAAACACATGTGTTTTACTATGGCTTGCTAAAATATAGTTTGTAAGAAAAAAAAAGACATTAATAAGTGTTATTTTTACTATAGCTCGATAAACATTAATTAGTGCTTTCTTTTTTTTTGGTAAACTTAATTAGTGCTTTCTAACAAAGACAATTTTTGGATATTGATTTCAATTATGAAAATAAAAACAGGAAGAGAAGCTACCACCAAATGATAAAGTATTAATTTTTGAATTAGATTAGATTTTGATTCGATTTAATTACAAGGATTGGCATAAAAACAAATTAGAGTTTTGAGTGAGTTAACGAGTTTTAAGAGAACTGTAATTCTTAGTTGATTCGATAAGTATCTAAGACGGGAGCCATTGAGTTTTATATACATTACTAGTTTAGTACCCGTCCGATGGACGGGTTATCTTTATTTGAAATTAAATTGATATGAAAATTTATTATAACTTATAAAAAATAATTTCCAATTTTTTTTTGAAAAATAAGAGAAATTAATTTCATTTGGAAAAAGATTTTATTTGGTTTGAATTATCAAATAAACGTGTATATATATATCTTAAAATTTGTTATTAAATGTTAATTATAAAAATCTAGTAATGTCAAATTGACAATCACCAAAACATTTGGGAGCTATTTGGGAGCTATTCACCATTATTCATAATATTGCTAAAATATTTTAAAAGTTCTTAATTTAGCAATTATCCTCTAAAACATGATTATACCATTTTGTAAAAAAATTTATTTCTTAACTTTCAATTTTTCAAAAAATCATTCTCAGACTATGAAAATTAATTAATTATTATTTAATATGATGGTAAAGCTCTTTCAAATTAACATCAATCTAAAATATGATGTTAAATACAAATATATTCATTTGTAAATAAATTCATATAAACAACGCAAATAACCATAAAGATTCTAAAATAAATTATAGCATCGTTGAGGGAAACATTAAAAAATCTTTCAAATACGAATTATAAAAAACTACATATTTTTTACAAAAATATTTTAAAATTACTATATTATGATTTATATTGAACTTTGTTATCTTTAATTTAAGCTAAAAATATTATTTTCCAAAATATTTTATTCACCCTTATGTTTTAGACAATGAAATTGCTTAATGGCATAATACATTCATACATAAATTAAAAATTAAATAAATATAACATATTATAAAATAAAAATCATGAATAAAATTATGTGTTTAGTTAAACTCAAAATCTAATTTATTTGTAAACTGTAAATCCTAATTCTCCTTTATGAACCCAAACTGATAAATAGCCTTGTTTAATTGTAAAACCTAAATCTCATCCTCTTTAGTAAACCCAAACTGATAAATAATCTCGTTTAATTATGAAATCTAAACAATAATGCGATTTATAAACTCAAAATATAACCCTTATAATTGTAAAACCTAAAACTGGCAAAACCAAAAATTAGGTTAATAGTTGAAAGAATTTTTTTGAGAAATACCCCTTTTGGTGTACCCTTTTTAAAAAATACACCAATTTTCTATCTATTTTAAAAATATCCCTTTTCAAATATGAAAAATTATAAACTTTTATATAGTTTATAAGATACATAT